GCGGAGCGTGGGGGGTGGGAGATAGCTAGTTTTAGCAATAGCGCTCTAAAGGCAAACGCGCTACTGCTAAACTACCTAGCAGTAGCGCGGTCCGAGTTAACGCGTTGCTGCTAGAACTAGCTTTGCAGCGGGGTCGTGGGAATTATAGCAGTAGCGCGGCTTAGAGGAGGCGCGCTACTGCTACGCTTATTTCAGCAGCGTGTACTGCCGGAGCGCGCTACTGCTACATTGCAGCAGCGCTCTAATTTAAACCTCGTTGCTGGTAAGATCCTGTGTATAAGCTTTTCTCTAGTAGTGGCTAATGTTTATTTTTCGGGACTTTCGGCTGAACTGCACCATGTTGGCCTACAATGGTGGGTGCTATTATTTATTGTTTTATGCAATGGATAGTCTGTATAATGAGCTCTGGACTCGGCCCATGTAGAGCTGCCGCGTGAGGGCCCGTCTCATCAGAAGAAAAATCAAATCTCAAAAATAGAAAAAACAGAAGAAAAACTGGCGCGCTCGTAGCATCTTCTCCCTCCGTAGAAAGCCGGTTATTGAGTAACCTTTTCTTTTAAAATTCGAATTGTTCATTTATTATTTCTATAAATCTGGCGACGGACGGGAAGCGCACGCGGGAGGGGTGGGGTTTTTGTGGGCACGATAGCAGTCCGGACTCCCGCAAACCTCCTCCACATTTGTCTCCAGTTTGTGGGAGAAAATGTGTCCGAACTGCGCCGTGGACTAATACAGGACCGCGTTAGGTGGCTTCTGTGATCCGGACTGATGCGGGAGATTTGCGGGTTGATGTTGAGAATGCCCTAACCCGTAACGTGCCAAGTGTGAAAGTTGTACCAAGGTTAGATTTTTTTTTTTTCAAAAAGATGCCGGAACCAAAATGATCATGCGAAGCATCTTGGTTCCAGTCACATCACGGGGCCATGGAGGTCGCGGTCATGGCTTACCCCGTCAAAGGGGAAACCAGAAGCTTTCACGTCATGGCTTACCAGTCAAAGAGGTCACTCGGGGAATTATATTTGTGGACGATGATCGTTTGCCCCAGTTTTCCAGTCAATCGTTCACCGCTCACTCGCCGAGCGTCCCCATATATCGTTCTCTCGTACCTCTAGTGCGTAGTCTATGACCACCCTTCCAGCCAAGGACCCCCTTTGCTGTTCACTGTAATCTTCCTAATCCTCCACTGCTATGGCTTTGGGCCGCTGGTTCTTCTGGGCCCTGTGGCTACCACTGATACTCGTGGTCACCGCGGCTAGGGAACAGAGACAAGGCTGCTCGGACTCGGCCAAGAGATGCGGCAACATGAGCATCTCCGGCCCATTCTGGCTCAGGGATAACGTGGCGGATTCCTCAGATTTGGAGGTCATTTGCTTTAACAACACCACTCCAGTTTTACGGAGCTCCATACCCGGAGGCTACGGCTTTGCAATCATCCGTATCAGTTACGAGCAACGCATATGTTCGATCGCCCAGGACGTAGTGCGCCCACTTCACCATAGCCTGGCCAGCATATGTTTTAGCTTGATTTTCCCCGGTTCATTGCATCTATCTTTGGTTCGTTGGTGCCATGCAATTGGCTTTTCGCTGGTTTAGTGTCATCCTCTCCATCGTCTTCCGTAGGTCCCCTATGCATTTGGCTTATGTGTACTGGCAAGCGAGTGGATTATGGTGCTGGCCTCGTGGTAGCCACGAGTGACGGTCGGGTTAGTTTGGCAGATTACTCTCGCCTACATCTGTTATTTCCTGTTATTAATTAGTCTGTGGGTTAGTTTGGCAGTGCCTGTCTATCTTTCTATCCCGTTTCCGTTTGGACCCGGTAACTGATTGTTAACTTTTGACTGTTACCTAAATGTGACGCGTGGTTTTCACTAATAGAAACTCCGGCCGGCTAGCTTTTTACCTGTGCGACCTTTGCACTCTCCTTGTGTCCACCCATATACTCCCTCCATAAGGAAATAGTGATCTAAACGAGAGGGAGTAATTAACTAGAGTACGTACGTAGTAGTAGATGTTTCATGGCTTCAAGTTCAGAGCCCGGGTGCTTTGTGCTCTTTTCTGTAAACAAAGAGCGGCAACTAAATAGTCTAGTACTAGTTGATGTGGCCTGCCAAGTAAACTACTCCAAGTGGGCAGTACCAGTTTAGTTAGATTAGCACACGCTCATGAACACAAGTGGAATGGAAGGCAATAGTATACAGCAACTAGACCGCCGTACGGCCGACGACTCGATCGATCAGCCTAATTTGAACTCCCAACCCTGAAGTCTGCACTAAGCAACAACTCTATGTCGGGCCCGAGAAAATGGTTGCTAGCGATTGCTTGATTGTTTATGTTTACAACCTGGCGAGTACTTGCCACTTACCAGGTGTAACGACTTACGACCACGCGCTTGAACTTGGCATCAATTTTATTGCCATTTGCTGTCGGCCGGACCGTCCATAAACACACACTACGTAGTGTTGTCGATCGTAGGTGTACGCACACGCCATGACCAGCAGCATGGAGGTTTACCGCCAGTCCCTGCTTAGAGTTCACCGGTGGTTTACGACTACCGTTACCAGTCCTCACACAAGGATCCAACTGGCTCACCCATGGGTCCATCCATGGCCGACAAGAGCGTGCACTAGCCGGCCCCGGATTGGCATCATCCTGGCCGGTCCGGTCGCATCACTGCTCGACCACGACCGGGGATGGTGGAGTTCTCGTGCGTGTGTGGACGTTTGGTTGCCTTGCAGTCAAACTTTCCGGCACACCACTCACACTTTGCCAGAAAAAAGGGACTCGTCACTCACCGACTCCCCCCTCCTCATATCACATATCCTCTCGCTCGTACCATGGATATCGCAGTTCGTTCCTAGTACTATTCTCTATCCATTTGGTGCCAAGAGAAATATCCTACGCACTGCGTTGCCCACTGTCGTCCTCGATCGGAAGGAATCATCCTCCTCCCTCTCGTATGGTCCTCCCATGGCTCGGGCCTTGCCTCCTCCTCCTCTTGGCCGTCGTCGTCTCCCCGATGCTTGCCGCGGCGGCGGATGCGCGCCCGGGAAATGCGGCAACCTGGCCGTCTCCATCCCGTTCGGGGTCGTCCATGGCTCTGAGGAGAACCGGTGCGCGCATTTTGGGTTCCAGGTCCACTGCAAGGACGACGTCCCCTACCTCGGGTACTACGAGCCCGAGTACGGGTTACAGATCCTGGATATCTTCTACAGCAACGGCTCCCTGCTCGTCTCTGACGTCCACAAGCTCGGCGACTTCGATCTCTCCAGCGACGGAAGTCGCTGCCATGTGCCGACGGCCAACACGGCCACCAAAGTCGGACACCCGTTCTCCATCAGCCCTCTCAACAAGAACCTCGTCTTCTACAACTGCACGAAGCGGCCGGCGCCGCGGACGATGCGCCGAGCGGGGCTGGTGGACACGGTGTGCCGGAACAACACGTTTGTCCGCGCGGGAGGGTGGTACAACGAGACGGGCGGGATCAACGGCAGCTACGCTCTGGAGGGCTGCACCGCCACCGCCGTGCCGGTGCTCGGGGCGTCCGGAGAGGTGAATGCCGGCGACTACGAGGAGCTCATCAGGGATGGCTTCCTCCTGACATGGCAGCCGCCGAGTGCCAACAACGGTGAGTTCAGTCGTTGAATTGATCGCTTTTTTTATCGAGTTCCTAGGAATCGATCTGGCCTCAGCTTCAGCTTCCTTATCTATGGGCCATGCAAAATTAATGGCGGGTTGGCAAGCCGTCGCCGTCGCTGTCCCCAGCCATGGCATGCATTGCCGCTCTGGAACGGCATCCCACAAATCAAGGCGATATACCAAAATAAATAAATAATGCTAATGGAAAACAGATAGCGGGTTGACTCTGACAGGTCAAGCCGCCATGGCCACTGTCCTTCATCTTCAAAGCACTGTTTTGGGTACCGAGCAAAATTCCGAGATCTCGCGTGGTTACCGCGTTTACCGCCCCCCCTCGAGAACTACGCATACCGAGCAAAAAATCTCGAATAATTTAAAAATTTTGAATTCAAACACTCACAACATAGTTAAATACAGGCCATCTCTTATCCAACCGCAGAGCTATTCGCGGCCTAGTGGTAAAGCCAACCTTTTGTAAGCTGCTAGACGCGGGTTTGAATCTGGCCATATGCTTTTTATTTTTCTTTTTGATAAACCTATCTATATCTACTTCAAAAAAAATTGAATTCAAAATTTGATTTGAAATTTCGTGCGAAATTTTTCCGGAATTTCGTGGTTACCGTGGTAACCACAAATTCCGGTGCCCCACGAGAAGAAAGGTTCGCTCGGGATCCAAAACCTTGCTTCAAAGTCGCACATCCCGCCATCCGTTCAGTCCCGTTGGCCGTTGCTCTCGTTAACTTAGTCCTCGTCCTCGCCCGCTCCGGTTAGTCAGCCGCTCCGCTTCCCATCCCCAAATATTCCAATCCATGCCGCCGCTCCAGCCCCTCCTCCTGCTGCTGCTGCTCTCCGCTTCATTTCTCCGGCTGCCGTCGCCGGCCGGCGCCGCCTGCTCGCCCAAGACATGCGGCGACCTGAACATCACCTACCCGTTCTGGCTGGAGGAGGGCGGCGGCCGGCCGCCGTGCGGGTCCCCGTCCTTCCAGCTCAAGTGCAACGGCACCCACGCGTTCCTCAGCCGCTCCATGCTCGGGCAATACCAGGTCGCCCGGGTCTTCGCCGAGAGCTCCTCCCTCGTCGCCGTGAACCACAACCTCCTCGTCCCGCCCCGCGCCGGCTGCCCGCCGTGGTGGTTCAACATCTCGCTGGGCCTCGGGCTGGGGCCCTACACCATCAGCAGGAAGAACCGGGAGGTGCTCGTCCTCTACAACTGCACCGAGCAGCCACAGGGGTTCAACCGCACGCGCTGCGCCGACGGGTCCTTCTACCGCCTCGGCGGGGGATATGGCAGCCACCTCGAACCGGGCGTTGTCCCGCCGGCCTGCAACCTCTCCGTCGTGCCGGTTCTTGGGTTTCCGGACGGCGACGATGACTATGTCCAGAGCATGAGGCAAGGGTTCCTGCTAGAGTGGACGGTGCCGTCGGACGACTGCCCCGAGTGCGAGGCAAGCGGCGGGCAGTGCAGGTACGCCGGCGACGGCACCGGGTTTTCCTGCAACTGCTCCGGCGTCGCCCACCCCGAGAAGTGCGGTGAGTTGACCAAAATTAACTGACAGCGCCACCATGATTTTGCCTAGTCAATCACTAGTTCTTTGATCAAGCTAATCCGTTGCTGGTATTCATTCCCCTCAAAGTTTCTAGTGCCAGTGACCGATTCAGTGACTATAAAAAATGCCGACGTAGGTAGCAATTTGGACGAGCAAAGGTAATGCTGGTATTCAGAAGTGACTTATTTGAGTGAATTCAGAAGTGGCGACGTAGGTAGCAATTTTGATGCTGCATCTGACATTGAATCGCTCTCAAGAACAGATTAATTTACTGCGTTTTACGTCGCTGTTGGTAGGAGGAACTTAGAATGCTGATTGGACACGGATATTGTGGTTTCAACTCTTGGGTGCTTGCTTGGTTTCTTGGAGCTCCTGCAGATTACTGTTTTGTTTTTGGTAGTTAGTGAAGTCAGTCCACTGATTGAGAGATTTATTAAGCATTGCTATTCAACAAAGATGCCGAGCCGACGGTAACGTGTTCCTGGTTTCGTTCCAAGTAAACTACTCCTGGAAGGAATTGCCGATCGACGCGCTTAGTACTTTTCTATGCCCTGGTTCGAGTTTCAAAATTCAGACATGTGGAAGTCAATATATTGCAACTGTTTGTTGTTGAATTCGTTAGGGGTGCAAAGTTGAATTGAACGCTGTAGGTAGTTTCGGTGGGTACCATTTTTTTTGGAATTGTTCGGATTGCTTACAACATGTGTCACGTGGTAGTTTCAGTGGGTACTTAGAGGTGTTGATGCACTTGGTAACTGAGTGTTGCACTGCATAATACTCCCTCCATTCCAAAATAGATGACCCAACTTTAGACTAAAGTTAGTATAAAGTTGAGTCATCTATTTTAGAACGGAGGGAGTATTAAGCAGTGCAAAAGAGTGGCGTGATCCTACCGGTATTACCAAGCATAATGAAAGCTTACGGCCCTTAAGTTAATACATATTGTCTTTTTTTGTCTGGAGAGATGACCAAAGGAACCAAATATAGGGTACCAGGCACCAAGCTGTTTCAACGCAACCATCTTATCAGCTCTGTTTGTTTTCAGGAAAACTATGATATAACAGTTACATTGCTGTTAGATTTTGGCTTACATTTTGATAATTTCTCCTGAATCAATGCAAATGTATGAATCCGTTATTTCTCACACCACTTTTACGATCTGAATGTCTTGACTGTGGCTTCTATGAATTTATTTTCTTCAAATATATTACCACCTTGAATTAAAAATCTGAAATCCAGCTGTTGCTGGATTTTCCTCATTAACCAGTCAGAGGAAAGGGAGTTTGGCTTTACATAGAAGCTGGCAAAGTTATCATGACAATGCCGATTCATACTACAAAAAGTTCCTTTCATTTGTCAATCGACTACTGTACTTGTTTATTACTTCATAATGTTCAAAATATTTACAGACTCTCCCCGCAAAAAGAACAAATATTTACAGACTCTTCTTATGCAGGGCGCCGTAAAATGGCAACGGGGACGATTCTTAAAATAGGTGAGTGTCATTCAACTCTCAAGCTGCTCGTCCCATCTTTTCTTCGGTTCTTATTTCCTGTGCTCCATATTGTACCCGAATATGGAGAACAAGAGGTGAAATCTCATGATGGAGAATTAGCCAGATCCCTTGGTTGATTCATATTGCTAATGTGTTATATTGTTTCTGTGGACAGTTGGAGCAGGACTAGGTGGTGCTGTACTCATGGCATGTCTCGGCTGTTTTGTCTGGTACAAACGCAAGAAGAGGAAACAAGCTATAGCTTCAAATGAGTTCGTGCGAAGTGGATCTTCAATGACGTCATACAGTAAAGACCTTGAGTTGGATTGTTCTCCTCATATCTTCACTTTCGAGGAACTCGAAGTGGCTACTGATGGATTTAGTGCTTCAAGGGAGCTTGGTGATGGTGGTTTTGGTACTGTCTACAAAGGTAAAACACATGTTTGCCGAACCTGTTGCTTGTGAATCTTAACACCTCAAATTGCAAATGAATTACAACTTTGAATATTTGAACTGTATGCTTTACAACTTTGAACTTTTTTTCATTCAGGAAAACTAAAGGATGGGAGAGTAGTTGCGGTGAAACGCCTTTACAAGAACAACTACAGACGGGTTGAGCAGTTCCTGAATGAAGTTGACATCCTTTCGCGCCTGCTCCACCAGAACCTTGTCATCTTATATGGATGTACGTCGCGTATGAGCCGTGACCTTCTCCTAGTGTACGAGTTCATCGCAAATGGCACGGTTGCGGACCATCTTCACGGATCCCGTTCGGTGGAACGAGGGCTCACATGGCCTCTAAGGCTGAACATTGCCATAGAAACGGCTGAAGCACTAGCCTACCTACATGCGGTTGAGATCATACACCGAGATGTGAAGACAACCAACATATTGCTCGACAACAGCTTCCATGTCAAAGTTGCAGACTTTGGGTTGTCACGCCTGTTTCCGCTTGAGGTTACCCATGTGTCGACTGTTCCACAGGGCACACCGGGCTACGTCGACCCAGTGTACCGCCAGTGCTACAAGCTGACCGACAAGAGTGACGTGTACAGCTTCGGTGTCGTGCTAGTGGAGCTGATATCATCGAAACCTGCTGTGGACATGAGCAGGAGCCATAGTGAGATCAACCTGGCGAACATGGCTCTCAACAGGATTCAGAACCATGAAGTTGTTAAGCTGATTCATCCAGAGCTCGGCTACGACACCGACCCCGAAACGAAGAGGACAATCGATCGCGTCGCCGAGGTGGCCTTCCAGTGCTTGCAGCTGGAGAGGGATCTGAGGCCGTCGATCAAGGAGGTGGTGGAGATCCTGACTTGCATCAGGGACGGAGACTGTCGGGCTAATAGCATGAAGAAGAAGAAGGCATCTCAGAAAGAGGACGCGTCTTTGCTCAAGGATGGCTTGCAGTTCTCGCCCGACACAGTTACACATAGATTCTATAGCCAGTCAACTAACCACTCGGTTGCGTCAAATGCTAGCGGATTATCTATAACGGCAAATGCTGAAAAGAATGCCGCATAGGCCCTTTTGGCACTCTTTAACATTGACAAAACAAAAAATAATATTAAAGCTCGGCAAAATGGGGTATCTGATGTGCTGTAATGTTTTGACTGCCGAGTTTGCATACGACCTCGGATGGAGATGATACAAAAAATCAAAGTTGTATAACTCTTTTCCTCGAGCAGTTAGGATTAGCCTGGCAAACAGGAGCCTAGCGGGTCCCTTTGCGTGCCGTCTGCGCCACCACTAGTTTCATCTCCCTCTGTCAGCTGCTCCGGTGGCGGGAGGGAGGAGGAACCTCGGATTTGTCCGTCGGGTGTGTTCTCAGTAGGGTTAGGGTTGAAGGAGTCCCGGTTCAGGCTGTCACGATGGCATCGCATCGGAATAAGTTTCCCTAGGCTCCGTTCACGGTTGGGGGGGGGGCTCTTGCAATCATCTGGGAGCCAGCGGGGTGGAGGATCCCCGGATCTCGTCGAGGCCGTGGGCTATGGTGTCTAGAGGTTGACTGGCACTGGCCGGGTTGGTCCTCAGGTGGGTGGTGGTTGTGTGGAGGTCTTCTTCCTCGTCGTCGATATGATTTTTTGATGTTGTTATCCCTCCTTCTTTGTGTTGTTGCTGAAAGGATGTCCTGCTTTGCCCGGGTGGTTGGTTCGGCCACTGCGCAGGAACCGAATCCTAATTCTCTTCCATCTGGAAGGGGCACATATAGTGGTACCAAAAGCCACATATGGCGAGGCTGGTGCAACCGTGTTTGATGCACATGTGTGTCCTTGTCTTTTAGGTGTCGGAGCGAAGAAAAAGGGGAGCAGCGTGGCGGCGAAGATGATGACATGATTGGGTCTGGCTACAAATTCTTATGTTGTTGGAGTCTTCTCGCAAGGTTCGGGGATGATGACACATAGCTCTGGAGAGATCTTAGTGTTTTATTGGTTATTCTAGGGTGACCTTTGTTATTATGGTTCATTGTGCTTGTGTCAGGGGGGTGCTTGTACTGATTAAAGACTTTGTATCATTTTGTAAATTGAATACAAGCATACTTTCTCAAAAAAAATTGTTCATCTTTGACGAGAAGAATAATTTTCATGTTGAGCACTTCTTCATTTTAGGCCATCTAAATTATACCTTTTGCCATGCCAAAATATGGTGTCAACACACACCCCTGCAAAGCGTAAACAAATTATAAAAAGCATGAAATTTCTCATGGTGCCCTCATATGACACCTACGGATTGTGGTAAAAACTAGAAAAAGTTCCACGAAAGTTGTCACATACACTTCTACAAATCGGGCCATCTCTGGAAAAAAATCATGATTTCGAGAGGGGATGTGTCAAGTTTGAAGACGATGTGACTGCTACTTCATCCGTTGTCCTTGAAAAAGAATCTACACTAAATATGCACCATTTCTATATTTAAGCCATTTAGTGCATTTCTAGTCATTTACTGCATATAATTCATTTTTAAACTACAATTGCATGAAAAAGTTGTCAAAATTGGGTTGAAAAAACATATTTGTGTTCTTGAGTCCATGTGTAACCTTGTCCTAGAAAAGGAAAGGAATTTCAATCATGAGGGTGCCAAGACTCAACACCAAACATGTTGTTTATTGATTTTTAATTTTGAAAAATGCAAACAAATATAGAAAAAGCATGAAACTTGGCATTGTGCCCTCATATGACATCATAGAATATGATGAAAAATCGATAAGGTTCCGCAAAAGTAGAATCATAAATGCTAGCGGATGATCTAACATCAAATGCTAAAAAGAATGTCGCCGAGGACCTTTTTGGCACACCCTTTGACATCAAGAACAACTGTGCAATCGACCAAAAAAGGGAAGTCTCCTAATGGCAAAAAAATCATGGTCAAAACCAAAGTCCCTGTTCTGCCGTACAAGGCCAAAAAAATCATGGTCGAAGCCAAGCAATGCCACTACACATGGGAAGATGCAAGACACACAACATGGTAAGACGTAGCACCACGATGAGCACTACCACATAGCACAGGAACACACAACATCGCTAGCGCCCGAGGCTTATGGTCGTCAGTTCTGAGATGTAGGGGTGTTGAATAGTTTGAGGAATGGGGGAAGAGGAAAATATAATGGATAGATGCTTGATCCATGCAGGCGGTTCTAGCTACAAAGCCGTCTCGAATAATTACAAACTTGAGGCAATTATGTTTCTCTAAATTGCATCCATCTATTAGTACACGTGGTTCCAAAATTTCACCGCCTCCACCACGGAAATAACTGCCTCCCACCGGACTATTACAAGTGGATTTGTAACATGGAGATAGAACCGCCTCCAAGACCCACTGCTAATGCCCGTTATTAGTTTGTCGTCCATTTGGTGATCCACATTAGAGTTGTCCTCAAACTGTCTCGGGAACAATCAGAGGAAGAAGCGGCCATAGGGATCAAGGTCCAGGTGACGGGCATCAAGGAGCCATTGAGAGATCCATCAATGGAGCGGCCATGGAGGAGCCACTGATGGAATTTCTTATTGTTTGCAATTAATGAATATAAATTTTCTACAATATCTTGACCTATTACAAACATGAGAAGAACACAAGACATTAAATTAAACTAGCATGACCGCGTGCACGCATGGGAGGGGCAGTGTGGATGACGCCTGGACCATAGGCCCCGTAGATGCGTGTCTCGGTGTTACCAGGCTATGCCTTAGTCCTTAGCCGGAGAGGATTACTCACACATCGCAATCGAATCACAATTTAGAGACATTGTAGATAGGTTTATTTGAAGATGGATGATTAACCATGTTATCATGTTGCTAATCTCAATGGGTCTTAATTACAACTATTGGTAGTATGGAGATGGTGATGACAACTGTGGTGGAGAGAGCCTTTATATAGTGCAGACCGGCGGGATAGAGTTTTGGGGACACCTCATTGCGAACTGGACCTCGGCCCAATAAAAGAGATTCATGTGCTGGCGTCATGAAGGCGGTGGCACCTTGTACGACTGATACGATACATGTAATACAAAATTTCAATATGTATAATTTTTAAAAAAATATGTATTGTATACTTAATGTTTTAATATGTATTTTTTTTGTTTGACGGCCTTTAGAAGTCAAATTACGATTTGGTGGTGAGTGTAATGTTTAAAACAACCAAGAGAAAATTTCGGAGGTCCATCAAGTTTTGCCTAGAATCACACATTATGTAGTTTGCATATGAAGACATGGCTTACTGAAAATACAAGGAAAAAACTTCAAGGAATTAAATATGTCTTTGCATAGAGGCTAAAGCACTGAAGGTATTTCTCAAAGAAGAACAAAGAAAACTGAAGGTGAATTAAACTGAAGGTATTTCTCAAAGAAGACCTCTCTAAAGGTTTGAATTTATACCGTGATATCTCCAAAGTTTATGTTGGAAACGCCGCTGCCACTGCTTTTTGGCTTGACGTATGGTTGACCGACAATACGCTTGCTGCTCGATTCCCTGCTATTTTCTCTCACTCTACTAGGCCGAATGCTTCGGTGGCTAGGGTTCTAGGTGATCCGGTTTTGTGTTTGGACCTTCGCCCCAGGATTTCCTCGATTGCGGAACAGGAACTTGCCGCGCTGCTTGTTATGATTGCCACTGTAACTCTGAACCCTTTAGTGGCTGACCGTCGTGTTGGACGTATCGACAACAAGCCGATCTCGGCAAGATCAGCATATGCTTCTGTGTTTGCAGCTAGGTCGGAGGACAGGTACGCCACGGCTACTTGGAAGAACTATGCTCCAAATAGGTGTCGGTTGTTCACTTGGCTAGCCTTCCGGGACAGACTATTTACAAATGATCGGCGTTTCCGGCATGGGATGTCAAGCTTCGATACTTGCCCATTTTGCGATGAGCCAAAAACCACAAGTCACTTACTGTTGAACTGCCACTCCATCAAGTTTCTTTGGGACAATCTTCTTCTTCTTCGTCCTCCAGAAGTCGAACATATTCAAGATATTTGGTCTATCCCCTCAATTGATAAAGTTCGCTCTACAGTCATCATTGCCATTCTTTGGTCTATTTGGAAGCGGAGAAATGCTATGGTCTTCCGTGCCCACGATAAGGATCTGTATGTCACTCTACGACGATCTGGAGAGGATCTTGTGTTTTGGTCTAATCGCTGCAAAAATGCGGTCAAGCAGACCCTTCTAAAGGACTGGGGTTCCATGTTGTATCACTTATCTACGAGAATTTAGCTTATCATCTGCCCTTGTAATCTTTCTTTTCTTCACCCTATGTAACTACCTGAATGTTGTCATCTCTCCCTGGCTAATATAAGTTCAGGCTGGCGTAAGCCCGCCGTAGTTTCCCGTCAAAAAAAAAGGTGGGACAGAAGTCACGGAATCAACATTCAGAGCATTCAGGTTAGTGATCATTGTGGACCCACGATTAATGAAAGCTGAAGGTGAGACAGAGGTCACAGCGTATTGATCGGCTAGAAAGCATTCGCTGTATTGATTATACTCCCTCCGTCCGAAAATACTTGTCAAAAAATGGATGTATCTAAAAATAAAATACGTTTAGATATATTCATTCTTCCGACAAGTATTTCCTGGCGGAGGGAGTATTTCAGACCCTTTGTAACATATTGATATTCTTGTGCATAGTTTCCTTACTCAATTCTTAAGAAGATGATTACTCAATTCTTAAGCAGATGTTTCTGTGGAAAAACCTGTCCGTGGCTAAGTTTTCAGTGGCGACCTAGTTCCCGTTTGCCAGGCAGCCATTTTCAGCCAGCCCAACGAATCTTTCCAGCTACGTGAAAAGCGAGAAAACAAAGGTCATTTCTCTTGATCCTTTCCATCCGAACTACAAGGAAAAAATAATAATGGTCAAATTTTGTTTGTGTATGCAAAATCTGCATTGCACTAAAAAAACAAAGGATTTATTTCTCATTTATTCATCGCCAAATCTGTTGGCGATTACACAAGAACAGACAAGACAGGGAAAAGAAACGCACTACAGATATGTCTCATCAGAGATAAGACTCGACAAGAACAAAGACACAACTATAG